ATATATATATATATATATATATATATATATATATATATGATCTATTATGATACTATATTGTTCATTAATGTATCTAGAATTTTTGAAAACTAGTTTGAAAATTAAATGTTTTGTAAATCCTATGTTTTGTAAATTAAATAGATAATCATTTCATTATTTTTCATAAATATTTGATTTATTTAAAAATATATTACATCAATTCGATGAATGATTATAGTAGTTATTGTAACAATTATATTAAAAAAATTATTTTTTCAATTATGTATTAAGATGCATTATTATTTATAATAAAAACTTTAGTTGATTTCTAAGAATTCAGTATTCTTTTTTCAAATTAAACTTTTAATATGTCTTTTTTCAAAATTATTTCTGATATTTTCATCAGATAATTATCAGATAAGTGTTCCAAACATGGCGTTCACCTAGAATACAACTGCCTTACGGTAGAATTCCATCTTAGACAACGAAGAAGAAGGTATCAGAAGGTTGAATGCCATTTCCGTCAAGTACGGTCAAGGACGTGATTACTTCAGCGCATTCCTGGGATGAATTTTTCTTTCAGGGCGTGTCCACATCCATAAGCAATTATACTTGTATACTTGTCGCAGAATCGTAAATGTCCAAGTCTCATAACATGCTTTTCTTATCTTTTCTTATCCCTTATTCGTATATCAATTGCAATAGCATTCGAATTTTAAAGGAATACCTGATCGATGAATTTTTGCTTTTTTTCTTGATCGACCACCATTGACACACCCGGAAATTTACATAATTTAATCCACAGTCATAGATGGCGATAAGAATTTCCATTTCTATTGCTACGATTCTTAGTAAGACCAACATCAATGGAATCTCATTGTCTTCAATAATAATAAATGATCGTTAATGTTAAGTAAATTGTAGATAAAACACTTTATTTTCTATTTTTCAGTCCATAAATTATTAACACTTTTAATAGGAATCGGGAATTTTATTACGAATTTTATTAAGATTATTAACAATAATCTTTTTTAAAATTATATTTTGGCTCCATATTTTTAATTTTTTATGAATATTTTCATAAGGAATATTATTGGATTATCAAATCTTATTTTCTCGAAAAACCGTTAGTTTTATTCTAACTATATCTTTTCTATTCATGTTTATATTTCGTGCTAAATTACGTCTTATAGAAAATTCTTTGAATTCTATACAATTATAAATTTTCTTCAACTTAAATATAGATTAGAATATTCCTTTAAGTTACTTAAGGGATTATTACTATAAAGTACTATTATATTACTATAAAATACTATTATATTCTTTTAAGTATTATTACAAACTTATTTCCCACGAAGAAGAGTTTTATTATAAAGAACGGGAATAATTCAAGATAAATGGTTTAAGAAAATTTTATATTTTCTTTTTACATATTATATATTAAATTTTACATATTATATATTATATACAATATTCTTCTCTTCTAGCTTATTATTAGTTTTTTCTTCCATGAAAAATTTTCAAGATTTTCATAAAAAGTTCAAATATTCAAGAATTTCAGAATATTTTCTAAATTTGCTAAATATAAAATAGCGGATTTGAATAAAAATCAATAGAAATCTGGAATTCGAAATGTCATCGAGGAACGACCGGATCGTGGTCTCGAAATGCATTGAAATATGTATATAGATATATATACACACCTTCAATTCTAAAACTTATAAACGAAACCCACACTCACCTTCCTTCCTTTTCCCTTCCCTTTTCAATGTGATTGCTATTAGGTCGTTGTTACGACACTTTTACATCGCTGTTACGACTAAGGAGAACGAATTGCTTCATCGTTTCTATGCTCCGAGGCTCTAAATCGAGCTTATAATCAACTCGAATCATCGATATATCGAATCACCTTGCGCTTGCGCTGCTTCATCGAGTGTTATATTCATATGTGCATATATTCATTGCGATAGCAATAATCATGCGCGAAAAATTGTTCCATGTCTCTAATAAAGATATTTAGGCAAGATAATTAGATTTATCAAATCTCGTCCGTTTAAACATTGAAAAAGATATAAGATAAAGAGATTCTAGAAAAAATAGAAACGAAGTATTAAAAAAAGAAATATAAATAAAAGAGATGGAAGAAGGGTCTCGATCTCGAGGAAACCCGACAAACGTTCCCACCGTCGATGATACAATCAATTTTTATCCAGTCACGTATCTCACGTTACGCAACGCCATTAACTGATCGCGATATAATTCTACGACCCAAATCCGTCCACACGTAAAATTATATACGTTTGAAATGAAATTGGACCACTAAACAAAACGCCCTCGTTCTTCAACTAGGTAGGTTTACATTCATTTTCAGTATTCTTATTTAGATCGCGATTCCGACTATAATTTATAATATGTGATTATTATATTCGTTTAATATTTAAAGTTTAACGAGGTTAAGAATTTCGAAATACGAGTAAAAATTAATAAGCAATTTGAATTGAAAATAATTTATTCGATAAGAATATATGGATGTAAGAAAATAATAAAAATGAAAATGGAGGATGAAAATAAATCTTTTTATTTATTTATTATTTTTTTTTTTTTTTTTTACGTTGTTTGCAGATCTTTCAGGAATTAGATAAATAATGTTACACTTGATAGGAATATGTAACAATGCTCTTTTCCGTTATGCGGATTCTCAACATACTTAATCCCAACGACAGGCACGCACAGTGAAAGCATTCACTGAACGGACGACGTTTATCCACCCGGTAAGAACCGGGCGCCGTTTCCACATTCAGATTTCGAATATTAATTACCATCTCATTGCTTTTATCATAGTTTCATTACGTTCAAAGAGAGAGAAAAACCAAAAAGACCGGGAATATATTTTATATTTGGTACACATATACTGATCGATCAGTGTCTCGATTCTTCGTTGTTGATCAAAGTGTCTCTTCTTGTTCGATTTAACATTTGAAAATGTAATTGTTGTTTATGATCAAGCATCTGAAAATCTGATTAATGAATAAATTAGAAGTAATTTGATAAATGCTAGAAATTTCTAGAAACAGAAACTATAGTCTTTTTAATTTAATAACAATTTTAAAGAAATACTATCTCTATTTATTAATTAAACTTTAAAACTTTTAAAACTATTTTTTATTAATTTTATAAAATTACAGAATCCAAAAAATAAAAATATGATTTTTATTTAAAAAAGGATAAAATATTAATTTATTTATTAATTTATATTAATGTAAGAATTTTGATCTATTTTTCAATATATTTTTAATATATATTATAATATATTATATTTTTTTATATTATTTCGATATCTAAAAAAAGATCTTTAAATATATATATATATAAAATGATGGAAAATAGTAAGTTGCGATTACACAAGATAGTTCACTATACTAGGCATCAGTACGATTCAATGTTCTTACTGATTACCTGGTATAAATCATGCGGTCTAAAACAAGCACGTTTCTCACATGTGGAAAGGCACGTGAGGAATTTATACGCCATCCACATCGTATAACGATTAAATATCTTCTATGATTCTTCTAGTTGCCTTTTAAAAACAACTATCCTATTTTGTCAAATGAATCGTTAAAATATCTCATTATTCAACATTCTGATGCGAATTTTATCGAACGATGCCTTGAAAAGTAAACGTCTCTCTTGTTAGAAAATTTACAACCTAAAAAGAAGGAAATATCCTGTCAGACCTGCATCGATAGGAGCTTTTATACCTGGTTCAAACTTCCTGCTTGTACCCGTATGGATGCGAAACATTCGCACTCGTGTAACGAGGCGTCAAATCAAATAAATTTCTCTTGGAGCAAATTCAAAATTTCACATTCCTTGCATATAACTATGCAAAAAATAAATCGTTTTTATAATTTCTTTCTTTGCTACTATTATTTTATTTGATTAATAAAGATATAAAAAATATTGTATAACGTATGTTTAGAAAATTAGTACAAGATAATACAAATAATAGAATATAACATAAAAACTTTAATAAAATAACGAAATGTTAGGAATGTTGATCAAGAAATAGAAATAGACGCAATAGAATCTTGACTTAAAATTCATTCATATAATTTTCATCATAAAAATTTTTTTGTATATAATTAGAAATCATACATAATTGGAATATAAAAAGACAACGAAAAAATTATATACGAAAGGAAAGAATAATGAAAAGATTTTTTAAAATAAAAAATCTTTTTACTTTACCTTATTATCATCTTAATTTTTTCTTGAATTTTTCAATACATATCGATATTTTCGTTTTTGTGTATGTCCCTTGGCGCCACACAATCCGTGAAACGCATTTCTACAAAAATGTTTGTCAATGAATAATATTTATTGATCCATTGTATCCGCGGGATCTCACCTTCGGACGCTAAGGTTCGATAAATGGAAGGAACGCAAAAGGAATTCTCGACATGTCTGGCGAGCGAATTAGGCTCATTGGAATTTCACTTTGGTTACAAGCAGGCTTTCATGCCGCCAAGTATGGTCCTCATGACCCGGTAGCCGGATACGATACGCGACGTGCGAGTATCGCCCGTCTTCATCATTAAGTTATTAAACCAATACACTTAACGAACCTCTATGATTGTCGTCTTTGTTTCTTAGTGAATTAACTAATAAAAAATTGCATTAAAAACAGATTTATGATTTTTAACGCACAAGATATTTTTAAAATTTATAAAATTTATAAAATTATAATAGAATTGCAATGGTAAAAATTTGTTCAAGTTGAGATGTCTGTTGTTTGTTACAGATAAAGGGTGAACGATTATCTGATCACGATGCCGTATTACAATAGTGGACATAGTCCTTCCACCTATAATAAAGGTAACAATAACACATTATTGAATCTTTTTTTTCATTAATAATAACAGAATGAAATGACAAATAGAATGATTCTTGTTACTAGATTATCTTAATTATTTATTATAATTTTGCTTTACGTTTTGTATATATCAGACTTGAATATTCGCAATTTATTATAAAATTAACCAAAACGTTTGGTTGATGATCAGTATTATTAATAAATTAATTAATGTATTAGACGGAGGGTCGAGTGGTCCATCGAGCACATCTGGTGGCCGTGTGAGTAGTTCCGAGCCGACATACATGATGGAGCATTTGGCCACGTTCACGGTCACGAAGGAAACCGGTATTGTTTATCCAGCGGACGGTATGCGGCGACTTTTGCAATTGGAGAAGAGTAACGGCATCTGGAGTCAAAAGATGCAGCTCCGTCTGGAACGGAACTGGGTACTGATTATGGACAATGAGACAGGGGTAAAGATCCTCTTGCAAATACATAAGAGAAATTCTGCACAAATTCTTTTTTTTTTTTCTTTCTATTAAAAAAGAGAAAAGAAACATAGCTTATGATATTTATAGCGATGAACGATCAAATACGAAGTGGAACATTTGTGAAATTACATTGCGTACAATTTAAGGCAATTTCACTTAATGCATCGTTGATAAATTCGTATGCAGGCCGTCATGGAGCGTTTCCCAGCCTCGTTGATACAGGAACCGACCGCGTTCACGTCGAGGGATCCTATGGAGATGTATAACAACATTCTCGTCTTCACAGTGGCGGATGACAGTGGTTCCGGTCAACGAGCAGAAATGCATATATTCCAGTGTCAAAGTGTCTCGGCACAAGATCTCGTCGAGGATCTGAAGATGCTGCAAATGGGTAAACTGGTACCCGGTGGTTCGCCAAGAGGTCCAAGAGGACGTATTCCACCGCCTCCCACTTTACCACCGCCAGAACCACCCTTAAACGGGGTTAATGTCCGAGAACAAGTATCTGCATTTAGTGCTAACAATGGTATGTCCTTTCGTATTTTTTCTTTTTTTTTATTTGTAAATAAAATTGAATATTTTATGAGATATAAATCTATAAGATGGAATAATTTAATTTATCTCTGTTTTTGGAAACGTAGCCGATAGTCAAAATGATATATCTCGTGAGGAGAACAATGACGAAGTGTCCTCGACATCTTCCGAAAAATATGAACGCGACGTGACGATCCTGAATCATTGTTTCGATGATATTGAAAAATTTATCGCGCGTCTGCAATATGCGGCTGCCGCTTCTAAAGAATTGGAACGTCGAAGGCGCAATCGAAAGTCGAAGAAAAGAAATCTCGGTGACGGAATGCTGACAATGAGAGCCAAACCGCCACCAGAGATGGAATTCATCGATATCTTTCAAAAATTTAAGCTGTCGTTTAATTTGCTGGCTAAGTTGAAGGCTCATATTCACGACCCCAACGCTCCTGAACTAGTGCATTTTCTCTTTACGCCGCTTGCTTTGATCGTGGACGCATCTCACGATACTAATTACGATCCTAACTTGCCAAGCAAAGTTGTATCACCGTTATTGACTAGAGAAGCGGTAAATTTGTTGATTAACTGCGTCACAAGTAAAGAGACGGAGCTTTGGCATTCATTGGGCGATACGTGGTTAATACCACGCGATCAATGGAAAGGTCACGTTCCCCCCTATCACCCTATCTTCATGGATGGTTGGTCCCCTGAGTATCCAATACCAGAAGACAGAGACCACGATCATCTTGCTTCGTTATTGAACGCTGACAAACAGAAGAGGGACGAGCTCCCTGAACAACAGAACGATTCGTATTATAATCATCGAGAAGTTGACGAATCTCATTATAGCAGCGATTATTTAGAGTACGAGAGCAGAGAAGAGCGTGCCGGTAACGAATATTTTGATAGAAATTACGGTACCGGTTCAGAGTTGTATGGTAGAGAAGAAAGAGTGGTCGATCAAACGAGAGCGCATAGCGACATATCCGTAGACTCGATCGAAAGAACACCGAGAACTGCTGGTATGGAAAGAGCTCAGGAAGCTTGGTTAGACGACTTAGTGGCTAGACACGCGAAAATCGTGCAAGTTACTTATCCGAGGACGGCAAACAACGATAAAGAATTGACAGTTGTTAGAGGTGAATACCTAGAGATTCTCGATGATAGCAGGAAATGGTGGAAGGCAAGAAATTCCAGAGGCCAGGTTGCCCATGTGCCACATACTATTGTTACACCTCACAATCCTTCTCATTCTAACGACAACGATGTTTTCAACAATCCTTTGTACACGAGTCGATATCCGAGGCAGGGGCACAGCTATAATTATGAGGTGAGAGTCACTGCCTGAATGCCTTCTAGAACCTTCATCTGTCTTAAAGAAAAATAATTGTGTAAAGATGATTGCAAAGATTTGGTTGAAGAAACAGTAATTACTGTGAAACTGTGCCATTGACTATAACAATAGTTATTGATTCTGATAATTATTTATCAACTAATAACATTAAATAATTTATTAACTATCTTCTCTGAAATCATCTTCATTAAAATATTATTTTACAATAATAAAAATTATTTAAAATTTTAGGATTCTGAAATCGAAAGGACCAGCACAAGTCCAGGACCTGAAGCCACTCATCGAACGCATGCGATTCCACCTCCCGCACCTGCAGATTGGGTGAGAAAAGAAAGACTTGGGAAAAAAGGTGAATTCCGGTATTTTTAAGCTATCTAGTGATTCAGAATTGTTTAGTTTTGTACGTTGCTTGAGGGATCGGAGAGGAATTGAATCAATAGGATAACTTTTAAGTTGTGGTCGCTGATATCAGAAGACAGAATAGACTATTCAATAGACTATTCAAGTAAATGCAGTCAAAATGCTTGAAGTTTTTACGATTCGTGTTTATATGATTGAAACTATTTAAGATATATTTCTTGATGGCTTCGATTATGAGATAAAGCATGTTACGAAAATGATCAACGTATATTAGCACCACAGCATTTATTGTGTCTTCAATCCTTGTACGTTTTGTTTTCTAAGCGTTCTTCAATTTTTTTTTTTCTTTTTGATGAATACTGTGTTTTTTCTACTTGTATATATTATATAAATATGAAGAAATATGTGAGTAATATCTAGATCGAATCCACCAATAATTATTGCAATAAAGCAAAGTAGAGAAATTATATTTGTTATAAAATGCGTTGGTTTTTCAAGTTCTTCGATTTTATCCAAAGTTTTCTTTTTATAATTTATATTAATGACTTTGATTCAAGAATATTAGGAAGAACTTTGAGAAAAACTAATCGCTATGCATTATATAGATATTAGTTCTTTTTTTCTTTTCTGAAGCCTTTAAACCAATTAACAATAAGGCGGTATCTTATCAAATATAAGTTTGCAATCAAAAATAGAATTGCAACTCAGGAAATAGGATGGAACATATTTTATTATTAAAATCAATGAACAAAATAATTTGATATTTTATAAATAAGTTGCAAATCTTATTCTTTATATTTGTTTAAAACATAATCTAACTCATATAACAGTCAATCAGAAGTGTTCGAGTTTATTTTAATATCGTACCTTTTTTTCTTTATAGTGATTATAGAAATGACTATCATACTTTTTATATTTATCGACTAACCAAATCTTAGTACATATATATATATATATACTTATATATACCTATATATACTTAACAGAAGAAAAAAAACAAAGAATAACATGTATAGTTTTATATTAAAAATATTGTAAAAGCGTGAAGTTAACATATTGAACTGGTAAAAATTATAAATGCAACATTCGTGCGTTTCCGTTGGAGAAATCGTGGTGAAGTCATTGTGTCCGTCCATTATTATCAAATATTCGGCTTCACTATAAGAAAAAGCTTGTCTGTCGAATTAAAGCTGTTGATAAAAAATTATATCTTCCTTCGGTAATAACAGAAAATGTTACACATTGAATCGATATCAGATACTTTCTTACGATTCTTATTCATCAACATTGTGATTCATTCTTTTCTTTTTTTTATCAATGGCTTTAATCATCGGTACAAAACTCTTTCTCTCGATGCTTTTATTTACGTGACGTTGCATGTGTCTGTATGCATCAGTGTGAATAAGCTTGTACAAATATATTGTGAAACATCGAGGAAGAAGAATCGTTGAATTTTTGCGATTCCCCTTCTATGAATGGTCAGATAAGAAGAATTGAATTCTAGAAACGGCGACATAATACAATCGTATATGATGAGAGAGAGAGAGAGAGAGAGAGAGAAAGAATATTAGAAAATAACTTAATTTTTATTATCTTTATTGCGAGATGCCGAGAAATCCCGCGACTGTTGATTTATATTATTGAAGAGTGAATACAAACGAGCGATGCGACATTTTCGCATTTTTAAATATAATATAGATAAAGTATGAGACATTATTGCAATTTTACAATCGCAACATTACTCGACTGTATAAATTTTTTCTCGCTTGCCAAAGTTGAGTTACTCT